GTTCCTCTCTGGACATCTCCTCCGCCCAGTCGACGGTTGTCCAGCTGTCGACGTGAAACTCTATGGGAAGCGGACAATGTCGCCCAAACCACAAGGTGTACGGTGGGTATCCGGTACTAGCCCGGACCGTGACGTTGTCCGCCCATATTGCGTATCGAAAATATCGTGGCCAATCACTGTCCTTACCCTTGCACCACTTGGACAGTGACGCTATCAGAGTCTGGTGTCCCCTCTCTACTGGGGAGATCGACTGTGGGTGATAGGCGGTGGCTATCGAGACTCTCGCCCCGGCTCTCCTGAACACGCTCTGAACCTCGTCGGCTAGGAATTTCGCCCCTCTGTCCATTACGATCTTGCTGACACAACCATACCTAGATAAGTACTCTAGGACAAAGTTCTTTACTTCCTTTGCCGCCTTACTCCTTATAGGTCTACCATCCACGAACCCAGTGAAATCGTCTCGTATGTTCGCGACGTAGTTCATATTGCCTACCGCTTTCGGCATGTTCAATAGATCGATGTGTACCTTCTCGCCTGGTCTGGTCGGATAGGATGGATGAAGTGGCTCTTTGTATTTCACAAGAGCTCTCTTCTGGCGCTCTTCGCAGGTCCTACAATACCTCTCGACGTCCTTATACTGTCCTTCCCACCAGTACAACCTGCGTACATTTTCGTAGGTTCCTTTGACTCCCCTGTGTCCTCCGACTACCCCGTCGTGAAGCTCCGCAACTATTGTCTGTCTCTCCTCAGGGTCACAGACTACTCGTAAGGGCATCCCTGAGCCGCTCGGCCTTCGAAACAGATGGCCAGCTCTTAAGGCAGTACTGGGCCGCTTGTCTCCGGATATCTGATTCTTGACTCTCCTTTCCTGACAAATGTAGCCCGATCATTCGGTATTTGCCCTCGTAAAGGCTAACCAGAAAACGCTCGGTGGGTCCTGGCTCCGCCATAGTCAGGGCCCCAACTACTATCGGGCGCTCGGCATCAAGAGGGATGCGCGAAAGTCATCTGCTACGGCATTTTTAGTGCCAGATATCCTCTCAACCGTGTAATCGTATAGCCGAATCCGTATTAACCATCGGGCGATGGTCGGGTCCGTCAGACTAAAGTCCTTCTGGAGGATAGAGGCAACCGCGGTGGGGTCTACTCTCAAGATGAACCGTCGCCCATAGATATAGTGTCTGAACGTGTCTAGACACCGGAGAACGGCTAACACTTCCTTCTTGAATTGACTATAGTTACGCTCAGCCGTATTAAGTGTCCTACTATCAAATCTTAACGGTCTTTCCTTCCCTCCAGCGTCTTTCTGAGACAGCAAACCTCCTACTGAACATGGTCCAGCATGTGTGGATACTATGAAGGGTCTCTCGGTCTCATCGTCAAAGAATGGCACGCCCAACACGCGTCCTCCCTCCTTAAATTCGTCTTTAAGTTCTTGCATAGCGAGTTCCTGCGAAGAATCCCAATAGAATTTTTCAGTATTTCGAAGGAGTAACCTCAATGGCTCAGCCTTCTCCGCATACCCCCTTATGAATATACGCCAGTAACCGACCACTCCTAGAAACTGTCGGACCTCGGTTGGGCTATGTAACGGTGACGGCCAGTTCAGAAGTTTGTCTAACTTCGCCGGATCTGCTCGGCGTCCTCTCGAGTCACAGATAATGCCCAAGATTTTAATAGTCGAGACGGCCCATCGGCTCTTTGTTCCGCTCACATTTTAATTCGCATCGTCCAGTTGCTCGAGTGCCGCGCAAATATCTGTTAGGTGCTGCTCGACGAATCTTCTAACTCCAGGTGCAACCTCTGCCTCATCCTTGTTTACTGGCCCTTTTATAGGAAAGTCATCCAGAAAAACTTCAACCTTATCAGGGATGAAGTCCTTGAGGACGGCTACCATGGCACTCTGGAAAACGGCTACCCCATTAGTCCAACCCATAGGGACAACCATCATCTGTATTAGTCCCAATGGCGTATGCATAGCCGTGAGGTGCCTGTCTCTAGGGTCAAGTGGCACCTCATCATAGCCTGAGAACAGATCACAGACCGAATAAATCGACCTACCTGCGACGCCTTCTGCCAGTAAATCAGCGTGTGGCACGGAGCCCACGTCTCGTATCGTCACCGCGTTAACCTTTTGAGATCCTGGATCCATCGGATCTCGCCATTCGTAGGAAGAACCATCGATTAGCATAAGCGCTATCAGACGGTTCCGCAACATGGGAAACCATCTTTTCTTTCAGGAAAGCGATAACTTCTTCCTTCTCCTTCTGGGCGTATTTCCATCCCGCGTCATTCCAGGGAACATGTGGTCCTTGCTGGCTTAGCGTATCGAGGGTCAACCCTGCCGCGCTCCGCGTCACTAAAAGCTATGACCTTATCACATGTCTTCAGGATTTCTATCACACGTTCTCGCTCCTGTGGGTTCGAATTTCCATCTCCGATGTCCATCCCTGCTATCCTCTCTTCCGTTAGGCGTTGCGACTCGTTTCTCTTTCTTTCTTTGATTTCTTTCGCGATCTCTTCTTCCGATATCCCTTCCAGTGCAGATCGCTCGCGGCCCACTGTCGCTAGCTTAACTTTTTGAGCCACTCGCTTGTGTCGCTTAGGTAGCCCCCCCATAGGGGGCCGTGCCCTTAAAAAAAACACGGATACCACACCGCCAAATTCCTCATCTTTTTCCTTTGGGTACGAGTTGCCGTCCACTATTAGCCGACTCCCTAAATCTTCCACCTCCACGATCCGACCTCCTTCCTCTGTGAGCAGTGGTCCATATTTCTTCTCGCGAAATCGCACCGCGCGGCCGGAGATAGGCAACGACTTAATCTGATCACTGGGTCTCGCACCCACAGCGAGAGTTGCTCTGTTCCTCGGGTCCCGAGGCTCCATTGTCTCAATCATTACCCGCGTCCCGTCTGGATTCTTAATGGACAATGTTTGGCTCCCATCAGGTCGCTCTATCGTCACCGCATGCACGTGGCTCAGGCACGTTCGACCCAAGAGCAGGTCGGAGCTGCAATTCTTGACTGTAAAGACAGGCAGGGTCACTCGTACCCCTTGGACCTCTATGGCTGCCTTGTGACAAACCCCAGTGATCTGTTGCCTTCTCCCATCAGCCGTCTCTATCTCGAATAGGTACGACCTGTCAAGGCCCAGTCCAACATGTACTGCCAGGTCCTCGTCTATGATGACAGCGTCACTGCCGTTATCGATCACAGCATCGAGTACCGCTCCATCGTTTATAATCGTCTCCACGGCCCCGCTACCAAGTATATAAAACTTGTCTGGAGGCACACCTTCCATTCCATCGAGAAGGACTGTCGCCATGCGACCCGCTTTGGCAGTCACCCCCGTTACTGCTACTGTAGAAGCTTCCGCCTTAGGGGCCCCCTGACTCTCCTCCGATAGGGGTATGCGAGTCTTCCGCGTGATCATCTGTAACTCATCATGAGCCGACTTCGATGTCGCCAGGTACTCCAGAATAGAGCACTGCATGGGCTGCCGAAGGGCCCGCCTCAGTGGCTCGACCGTGTCAATCTCGTCCAGCGAACTCTTCATTAAGAACTTCTTCACTCCCCGCTTCCGCGGCGAAAGGATAACCTCCTCTCCATCGACCCGCTGCCCGTCCTTCTCCGCCATCACGTAATCCGTGTCAGTCTTCTTCGATGTAGACCCTCTCGCCGACTTGGTGGCTGCCACCCTTATGGGTGTGGTCGCGATATCCCCCTCAAAGGTTATCTTGATGCTCTGGCTCCTGACCGACTCCATTCCCTTACTCGGCTTTACTCTCCTTGCTTCGACATTCTCCTTCATCGAAGGGAACATCGATACATCTCCCAGATCATCTGCCCACTTGACGTACTTGTGGTCGTCAAGCACAACAAGGCCCTCATCTATTGCCCGTTTGAGGTCCGGGCAATCCCTCTTGATATGATCTTCTCCTCTACAGTAGACGCATGAGTTCCTGGGAGTAGATGGCCTGTCGTCTGCGCGTCTAGAGATCAAACTCCTGGCTGCCTTGGGGTCAGGCGACTTGGGATATGGTTCTGATGAGACGTCATATCCCCCTCTCATTCCGACCGCGAGAATCGTTGCGGCGGTGTCCTCCAGACCCTCCTTGCTCATACTGCCTTTGCGAATTATCCCGGCGGTCCCCTGAGTCATATCGCCCTCGTGACTCATCGCGTCGATCCCCTCGGTTGTACCACCCGCGCGACTCGTCGTTCCCAGTCCCCTGCGACCCATCTCGTCGTTCCCAGTCCCGATCTCCTCTTTCATACCTACCACCTCTGTAGCCATCTCGACCCGACCTCTTGTATTTGTCGTCCCTATATCCGTCTCGGTCCGATCTCTCGTATCTGTTATCCCTATATCCATCTCGGTCCGATTTCTTGTATCTGTCATCCCTATATCCATCTAGTCGGCCCTGATCTGACTCCCATCGGCCGCGGGAGTCGCCTCTACCCCGATCGGCCTCATAGCGAGGGCTCCGCAGGTAATCATCCAGCCTCCTTGCTCGCGCAAACGGCTCGCGATCTCTGCGGTCTTGGTCTATCTCATCATCCCTACGTCGCCATGGTTCATCGTCTCTCTCTCTTCCCCTCATACGATAACCAGTCAGCGCCCGAGGATTTCTATCCTCAATTCTCCTCCAGGAGTCGTTGTTCCTACGGTCCCAGCGAAGTGAATAGGGCCCTCCAGGTTTGTCCCGGTAGGCCGTGGCCCCTGTAGTGGACACAATCTTTGTAACCTGTCTCGTCAATCCCTTCACCATGTCCCGTATCTCCTTCACTTCCTCAGCCACGGCCTCATTCTTCTCCGACGAGGGATAATCCCTGTAGAGAGAGAAGTCTCCACATACTCCTTGTAGAGAGAGAAGTCACGTCTCCTCATCTCTCTCCACACGAAGTCTTTGTAATCGTTTGCCTCTGCCTTTATCGCGAGCTTTAGGACGTCTGGGAAATCAAGCCTGTCGCGCGGAAGATCTCTTAGTATACTCTTTTGCCTGCCTTTGGACAAGTGTCCGATGAAGATAGTACAGCGCTCGACCTCTGAGATCTTCCCCTTCTTCATCAGCACATCGGAGATCTTCTGGAAACGCATCCCAAATGCCCGTACGCTCTCATCTTCATCTTGAGTCATTGTTTCAAGGTCCTTGATGGAATACTTGTTGTCCTCCAATTTGTGAAGTTCAACGAGGTTCTTCTTGTACGTAGTCCATTTCCCATCCTTCGGTCGAGCTTCCTTAGCTTCCCTACCGAGACTTGGGTCCACATTAAATAGGAAGTTCTCTATAATTTCTTCCTCCGACCACTTACTCCGGCTGGCGTGAAGCTCCCACTTCTCCAGATATTCTGTGATACCATAACCCCTGAAGGTGGGAGGCTCTGAGGCCTTGTGCGTAATAATATAGCGATCCTTGCTCTCGTAAGGGAGCGGATGTGACTCCCCTGTCTGGGGGTCGAAGACTCGCCTGGGCGGCGCCCTGTCTCTATCTCTGTCCCTCCAATAGGAATCCCTCAAACTCTCGTTCCAGTCGTCTCTGTGCCTGTCCGCTATGGTGTTCCTCCGCTCGTACTCGGGGGAGCGTCGCCTCGTCGCTTCTCGTCGTCCGCTCGAGGTACCCGTCTTTAGAGCCTCCTGCGGCTCTGTCACAACTGGTTCGCCTCTTACGTCGGGCCCCCCATCATTGGTTTGGTCAGCCCATCTCAGCGGTGCTTCTTGCCTAATTCGTTCCTTCAGATCCCTCAGAGGTCGATCGGGCGATGTCCTGTACTCCTCTCCCGCTTCGCGCGTGGTCGGTTGTGGCCCCATCGTGTCGGGTTGCATTGGACCACCAGAAGCCGCAGTTAGGTATTCTTGCCATCTGTTACAGTCCGACCCTATGACAGTCGTTGCAGCCCGGACCTGTTTCTCTGTCACGACTCGCGTCCGCCTCCAATCTTACCTCTCGACTGCCTTGATTACCACTTCCAGTATCCCGTACCGGTCGCAAATCTCGTGTCCTCCCTCTATCCCAAGAATCCCTGTGCCTAAGTAAACCTCTCCTTCGGGATCGGCCAACAAGGCCGTGCCTCTCCGAATCTGCAGTACACCCGTGACAGGACCTCTATCCTCGAGACAGATCACAGTCCCAAACCTAGCCAATGTCTCCTGATCAACACCCCTCAAGAGTCTCCGAGCGTCTCTCTCCGTCCTCCTTGCTAGTTCTCCTAGCCCTGTCCTGAATCGATTAGCCCGCTAAAGGCCCTCCTACTGCCATCCAAAGTCGCCCATCGACCTTTCTAGCTTTCACTATCCTTCCAAGAGCTTCCAATTTCTATTTCCACTACCTTATCTCCCAGACGGCTACGAGGTCATCTGTCTAACAGTTGAGGTAAGTTAGTGCTATAACCACTTGTAACCTCATCGCCGACCGCTCCAATATGTCATAAAATGTCTCAAAGTCCTCCTTATCTCCACCAYYSTCTATCGCCTCTAAAGTCTTWATCGATTCCTTCCAGTACCGGTCGTGAGCGGCTAACACCCTGAGTATTGCRCCATCTGTTACAACTYTCCCYAACTCTCCAGYTTTCCTGGCTTCGCTTATCTTCAACCTCTCAGCCTCTCTGGTCGTCTCGTACCATGCCCTTATCCGAGACCGCCCTTCGAAAGGTGTCACTTGGAGTACGTATTTTATCCTCCGTCCTCCTATTCCAATCCAAARWCYTGTTYCCCTAGCCTCACGCAGCGCGCGGCGGACACACTCTGCCTCCTCAACTATGCACAGTCTGGTATGGAGCTGGAGTTCTATGATCACTAACACTAATGGTCCGTCCAGTCTCCCTACCACATATAATGAGTACCGATCCGTCGTGTGTAGTGCAGTACCGCTCATGTCCTGTCGCTACTTCCCTGCATTACTTTGTCTTGCGTTGTCTCGCTCTCTGCAGATCGCTCACTAGTTCCTTCGCGTGATACTTTTAGTCTCTACCCTCTCCAAAAAGTCTGATCTCCACGCCTGGATAATCTCTCTTTCCTCCCTAAACAGATTCTCTAACTCTCTCGTCACGAGTTCAGCCCTACGCAACTTGCCCTCGTCCTGACACGACCAGATCTCCCTTAAYTTGTYTCCCAACTTCTTTACCTGGTTCAAGAGTGGTTCTTTAACGYGCTTTCTCACTCTTCCGACTGCCTCACTCTCCTCTTCCATACTCAGTCCACATTTTTTTCCAGCTCATCCTCTCACCCTCGCTCTAGCCTCC